TGTTGAAAACAGCAATAAACGCATTTCTCAGCCAGGCTGCAATTTTATTTTTTGTTTTGTTTCGTTTTGCAAACAAAAAGCAATGAGACCGACCACCAAGAGAAACAAAATCGATAGTCGCGAAGAGCCGAAAATAACTGCGAATATTCAGATACAGATACAAATGCAGATACAGAAACCGAGAATATTATCCAGAAATATAATAATATAAATGTGCAAGAGAGAACAGTCTGTCAAATTCAGTGACAGCTGGAAATGTGGAGCTAGATAAAAAGATTTAAATAATAAGGGAATCATTTTCCTCTACACACTAACTAGCATAGGTAATTTACCTTCTGTAAAATAATAACAATTCAGAGAGGAAATTTACTTTGCAAAGCTTAAGTTTCTCTGACATTATATAAACAGAATATCATTACCATAAACCCATTTGGCTTAGCTCACTTCAAGTACAATTTTCTTGATGCAATTATCCCCTTAAATCCCATGTTGCCACGCCCAATTTGGCATATACATAAGTATTTCTATAGATATATATGCATAGTACACTGTCTCCTTTTCCTTACGTGTGTGTGCCGCCTGTGTTTAGCTTTATTTTTATTAGTTTATTTTCGTTTGGCTTTCCGTATGACACGCGAAAGGTCTTTGCACTTGACAACAACAGCAGCGAAAGGTGGAAGCGAAAAAAATGTAAACCGAAAGAGGAACACAAAGTGTTCTCTCGCCTCCCAACAACTCCACCAACCTTCTCAACAAATTTTGCCTTGATTTCGTTAAACAATTTAATCTTGATGTTTGACTCAAGACTTTTCGCACATCTTTTTGAGGCACTCATTTTTTTTTTTCTCACACACTTTTATATTTATTTTCGGTGTGTGTTACACACACAAAAATTCAAAGTCAACAACTTGACGTGCTCAAAATTAAATGTTGTTAATGTTTTCATACTCTGGCTTAAAAGGTATATTAATTTCAAGGCTGGATTTGCAATGCACCGTAATTTTTTATATTTTTTATTGGTCTCTCATGTTTTTTTTATTTATTTCCAGATATAAATATTTGGTAAATTTAATACTAGATGGAAAATGTAGCCTATTAAATCATGGCTCGTTATGTATCGGCCTGTCTCATTTGATTTATAAACGTGTCAAGTGCATAATTTGTGGGTATTTCATTTGTTAGATTTTCTATTTGCCTTTTTTTTTCATTATTCCGAAATGCTTTTTTGGATATTCTAAGAGTTTGTTATGTTTTTATCACAAGTACGTTTCAGCATGACTTATGGGTTGTCCAAATTTGATCAAATAAATTAAAATGATTTTGGGTTTTGTGAATGAAACCCTGCTCTCAAGGCCAGTCATAATTGTACTATTAAAAATGAAAATACAAAATTTAGGATATAATTTTTAATTGAGTGAAAAACTGGTTTTAGATTGTGTGTGTGAGAGCTACTTGGTTATTATTAGATTATTCACTTGACGTTGGACATTATTGCTGTTGAAGAACTGGTTCATTATGGGGCAATTAGTTTAATGAAGTAGCTTAAATATTATGTGTAGCTTTATATTTTTTAAACAAACTTTTTAGTTGAGTTTGTATTATGTATATTTAATACTTCAAAGGCCGGAAACATTTTCCAACTATTAAAAAAGTTTGCTTTTGAGAAGCCAATCAATTTCAGAAAGGAATAACTTCAAAGGAATTTGATTCACTAATTAAAACAGGCTTTAAAGTTTGTGTGCTCATAAAATATGTTGTGGTATTTCGTTTTCTAAAGTTGGTTTACTGGAAAATTTAAGGAATTCAAGTGTGTTATTATGACTTAAATACATATAAATATCTAAATATAATGATATTCATTAAATGTAGTTCAGTTTCACGAAATTCCTGAGCCACTAACAGCCCAAGTCGCTTTCAATCAAAGCAAAAACAAGCATTATTTACATAACCCACCTAAGGCGCCTAAAGAACAACAATAAATTTGAATACAATCGGAAAGAAGCAAAATCAAATCCCAAATGTAGAATGTAATTTAGATTTTTTTTTCCGGCTTCTGACTGGTTTTTGCTATTTATGCCATGTTTTTCTGTTCTTTTCGTTTTTATTTATTTTTTCTTCACGAGCCTATAGGCAAACCTGCCACCCCCTTTGCCACCCTCTTTTCTCCACCTTATTCTTATTCTCTTTTTTAGTATCTCTCTCTTTCTCTCTTTCTTTGGTAAATTGAAGGTTTTTGATATTGAAGAATTATCTAAAATGTATGCTATATTAAGTAAAATGTTATCAAGTCTTATTAATTTATTTAACTATATGTATTTCGGTTGTCTAAGACTAAATATCTTAAATCGATAGATTATAAAATATTAGGTATTTATTATTTGATACCTTCAGACACAGCAACAAGAATTTTATAATCGCTTTAGTTATGTTAACAAGAGTTTATAAAATATTTATAAATTATAATAATATTAATGCTAATTTTTTTTTTTTAGTTTTTTTTTTTTTTTAGCGAATAAACCCTGTATTTTTCTTTTTATGCGTTCTTCCATTTGGCATTCTAAGTTTTTCTTTGCTCTTTTTTTGGTGTTGTTTTCTAGCTTTTTCTTCTTCTTGCTAATCGCTGATTCTCCTTTGTAGGCATTTTCGTTTGGTTCTCTTTGTCTTGCTCTCTTTTTCTCTCACGCATGTTTTTTTTTTTCTTCTTATTAACAAAGAGGAGGCCGGTTTCTGTTGTCTGTCTCTCCCTGTTTTTCCCATTACACCCCACTTTTCCCTTTCCTCCCTTTTTTCGCTCAGCTGTCGTCTTTGTATCTGTGTGCGTGCGGCGTGTATCTGTGTGGGCATGTGTTTGTATCTGCGTTTTGTGTTTTTGTATCTTCACAGTCAAGGACAAGTTAATGAACGATTTTCTGTTTTGTGTAGAATTTCCTATTTGCGGGGGTGAAGGGTCGGGTGGGGGGTAAACATGTTTTCCTCTCGACTCGATATAATTATGTACATTATTCTCAACTGAAGAGCTTTTCATTCTTGTGGTTTCCTCCTTATTGACAAATTGGGTGAAAAACAAATGTACACATTGTTTTTAACAATATTTAATAAAAAATGATCAATAAGACATTAAATATGTATATATTTTTTTTATTTTTAATAGTTTCGATAACAGAATTTAACTATATAATTTATTTTTATTATATTTCTTATTCTCTATTTATCTTTTTCTTTAAGAACTTTATATAAATAAATAGAAATAATGGCATACAACAAAAATCAACATTCCAATATTTTCCCTTAATCCGCTTTGCTCATTAACAAATTGCCTATTGTTGTTGACTTTTCCGGTTTGTGATTTTGTTTTATTTTTTATGCTTGGCGCCGCGGTTTTTTTGGCACCTCTTTGCCTTCCTTTTCTTGAGCTTATTTATTAAATGCGGTTTAATTAATTTATTTGATTTATTTTTACCCGCAGTATGAATGAATTTTGCTCATTTTCTTGCATTTTGCCTAGAAAGAGAGAGACTGTGACCCATATTAAATAAAATAAATTGCGTCAGCAGTTCGTTGCCTTTATATATTGTACATAATTTTTTTTGTTGTATTGTTTTTCTTGCTTTTTATCACTGCTGTTGTGGAGGCTTGGGTAATCTTTTTGTATCTTTTGTGTCTGTCTGTAGATCCGAATTCGCACTTTTCTGCCTGAAGCTTCTTTTCTTCTGCTCTGTCAAGTTTTGTCTCACTCTGAGCGTTACTTCACGCTCTCTTTTATTGTTTAATATTAGCTTGCTTTATTTACAATTTGTCAGTTTCGTTATGCTAAATGTTTGTTAAAAGATAGTTGGTATTTGGAAATCTTTGCCAGGAAGATCATTGAAAATATAGGAGACTGTAAAAATTGTTCAGAGATCGAGTGGAAAGTGAAGATTTTAAGAAGCTCACTTTATTCGGAGGAGATTTTAAAGACATTAGTGTTTTGCGATCTTAACTTAATATTTTATAAATATTATTAAACTCAAAAGAAGATAATCTTGGTTCTTAAAATAAATAAATAGAATAAATTTGTTGAATCTAGTTTTCTTAGATGACTAGAAAATTGATTTCTGAAAGTATTTTACAAAGCAAAACCTTTTATGTGATATTTTTAAAAATACATTTTTGATATAATAATAGCATTGATTTTCTCGCGTTTTTCTTCTGTGAATATTTAATATACAAACTTGGATGTATGCTAAATTAAGGCCTTTTTTCCTGTTCAGCAAAGTTTTCCTTTGCCTTGGTGACTTGCGCTGTTATTAATGCAGAAGTCGCAGCCAAGGCGAGCTTTTCATTTTCCCAGCCAGCAAACACTGCTCAGCCCCACCTACCTCCCTCCGCGGGGCAATCCCAGTTGATAAGCGCTTAAATATTTAAACTGTGTATGTCAGGATGTCGGGAAGTTGCCAGATGTGTGGGTGACCAAAGGGGAAGTTGGTGGGGATTATTGTGTCGCATTATGACGCAAGGAATTGCCTTTGGGAATGGTTAAAAGCCAGAAAAAAAAAGAAGAGAAAACGAAATGGAAGGAATGTGAGCGAAAGAGAGCGACAGGCGGGAAAAGTTAATTAACAATTTGTTTGCAACGCTTCGTTGACATTTAATGTCGCTGGTATTGTTGTCAATGAGATGATGATGATGTGATTTCCTTGATATTTGCTCTGCTCCTCCATCAGTTGCCAATGGGAATTTATTCGAGAACCCCATTTGGTAGCCTATAATATGTATTTTTTAAGTGCATTTAAAGTAATTTTTCAACCCATCCCCAGACATTTCCATAAAATGTCCTCCAAAAATGAACCTTTGCTTAAAAAGATGACTCAAAATGTCAGTTAAATGGGCAGGAATTAAAGAGAATGATAAACGCTTTCTTGCTAAGCTGTCCAAGGGGATTAGGAAGACAATTTATAATAACATTAGTGAACATTACAAACAAAATTATAATTTCTAAATGTTTTCCTTTCGCTTTTCAGATCACAACATCCACTGCCAAGAAGCTGTGGGAGAAGTCCGATGGCAAGGGCGTCACCTCGGGCACTTCCGGTGGTCCCCTCAACCCGTTGCAGATTCCTGGCATTGGGGATCCCTCGTCGGTATGGAAGGATCACACCTGGTCCACCCAGGGCGAAAATATCCTGGCCCCGCCTCCATCGAGAGCCTATGCCGCCCATGGTGGTGCCTCCGATACTTCAAACAGCGGAAATGCGGGCATTTTGAGGTGAGAATTCTGACACAATAATTATTAGCAAATGCAATCAATCGAGCGTGAAATATAGATCAGAAAATTAATTTCGATTTCATTAGAATATATATTTGTGAATGGAGGGGAGGAGAATGTATAGTAAAGCGTGATTTAAAAGCAGTGATAATAATAATATAATGAGCTGTTACTTAATATTAGGCTAGAAGTAATAATAATAATATTTTTGTTTATTTATTAAAAAATCAAGAAATTATTTCAAACCTATAAATGGGCTAAACAAACTCATTAATTTACTAAAAAAAGTGCGAGGTTTTTTATTAACAATTTAAAGTGACTGTAAAATGTAAAGTATATTGCTTTTAGTCAGCAGTTTAATATATATTTGCAAATTTTAATGACTTTTTGCCTGGTAAACTAATTGATTGATTGATTTATAACTATAATGATCTATAATCTTTCGTGAGAAATATGACATAATTCTTCGAGAAAATATATATTTTATTTAATTTACTCAGCACTTTGATTTAAACTCCGTTTTTAGTAGGATTAAAAAGAAAGTAGATGAAATATAGTACAAATTATATAAAATATAAAAAGGATATACATGAAGTACATTAAAAATGTTATATATTTATAATATTTAAACACTCATAAATAAATTTTAAAATAAAGAAAGCTTAGAAAATATTGCAATTCGGTCTAAAATTGTTTTTTAACTAAGAAAATAAAAACTAGAAACAAGAATTGATTGCTTTAATATTAACTAATTCAATAAATGTTATTTTAAATACTAATAATATTATACTTACAGTCCCCGCGATTCCCAATGTGCTAAGATGGTGGAATACGTTTTGGGTGGTTCGCCCACCAACAAGGAGAGCCCTCTTTCCGGTTTAGAGCCGCGTCTGCGTAATCTCAAATTTGATGACAACGATAAGGTGAGTTGCCCCCCCAAATACTACAGAGATCATGAAATAAATTATATAAATTTTCACATTTACAGTCACACGATGACAAGGAAAAGGCCAACTCTCCGTTCGACACAAACGGTTTGAAGAAGGACGATCAGGTCACAAACACTAATGGTGTTGTCAATGGCATTGACGATGACAAGGGCTTTAAGTGAGTATAGACGACACAACTTTCAATCCATCCACCACAGACTCCGACTAATGCCCAGACTAGACAACGAACTCAGCAGACTCTGGTTGGTTTTGAAAACTGGTTTCCTCAGTCCTCTGTTTGTTGGGTAATTCTTTGCTTCTTCGGTTCTCTTTTGACCGCAGAATGTTTTCATGTTATGATTACTGAAACTGAAATTTTTCCAGTTCAAGGTTGGTTCTTTCTTTTTGCATAAACTTTCACTGGTTTGAGTGTTGTGTTAGGAAAGGAAACGAAAGAAAAGAAAAGAAAGGTGAGGAGTTTTTCCAGTTTCAAGCTGTGATCGTGACTGGCAAATGGCTTAGAAAAAATGATAGACATGTCTAGACATTATTTCTTAGATTTTTGAAGGTTATTCAACAGGGATTACTGGTAGATTTAAAACAAGAAATCATTTTTAATTTACTTGTTAATTATTAAAAACAATTTTTAAAAGTTGATCAATTTATAGAGTCTAGACATAATTTATTTAAATGCAAACCTTGAATATATGTATATTTATTTTTGCTTAAATGTTGACCCACAAACAATTATTTCAGTTTTTTATTCACTCGGTTTTAACCCATATTTCTTATATTTCAATTGCAATTGTCATATCTTTATATATACAACGACGAGTTTGTATTGGCATAAAGCCGCCAAGTGATTGTTGTGTCTGCCCACAGTTTTTGTATTTCCATTTACATTTTTTATTATTATGTTTTAATTGTTATTTATGGCGATGGGGAAAGCTTTTTTCTTCTTCGTTGACGTTGAGGCCCACCTGCGTTTTTACGTATTTTGACGCAACGACACTTTTTTTTTGAGTGAGTTAAATTGGAATTTGTATAGTTATGTTGAAAGATGTATGTAATGTAATGTATGTTTGATTTAATGACAATTTTTATTGGCCTAAAACAAGTTGGCAAGTAATTGGGAATAGGGTTTTCAGGTAATTAAGTCAATTAACTTGGAAAACTTCCACTGAAATCTCTCTAGAGTTTTAATACTTGGAAATACTACTTCCTATTAGATTTAGAATATATTAAAATATTTAAGAAAGTCTTTCAAAATAGCATATACATTTTTTTTGTAAAACAATTAACATTTCTTTTGTTTAAATCAAAGGGCATTATTGATTTCTAGTTACACAATTTGTGAACGACTTCCTTTTGTAACGACTTCTTTTTGTAAAGTAACCAGCTTTAGGCCTACAAAGAAAAGAAACCAGTCTGGGGTTTCTCTCTCTGTCTCACCATCTCTCTCTCTGAGTGTTTCTCTCATTCTCTGGCTTGTGGCTGCCGGCTGTCTCTTGGCTTTGTTGTTGGTATTGTTGCTTCTGCTGACGCTGTTTTGCAATTTCATTGCCGGTTGGCCCAAACATGTTTCAATGCCAAACGTAATAACTGTTATGATGTAAGTGGCAGCGGCCACAAGAAAAGCCAGAGAGCAGAAGAAGCCACGAAAAATCACCTGCTACAAAATATTGGCTATAAGAAATCGAAATCGAAGTATCAGACGATGCATGTGTTACGGTTTCAATTTAATTATAATTAGTTTCGCTACTTTGGATATACGAACAGCGATTAGTTAACAGCTAAGGGAAAGCAAAAAAATAATTAAGCTGTTAATTTGAAGGATAAAAGTATAAAAAAATGAAGACATATTCGTTTAGTTTATCTCTTGATATAAATAAGAATAAAAAAGTATAGAAAACTTATTATTTTTGGTTAATTGTTTAATTTTTTGGAAATTTCTACAGTATTTGTAGTTAAAAAATTATTTTAATTTTTAAATTTATAATAAATAAATAAAAAATAAATTTAAAAAAATTAAAACCCAATTAATTTTTGAAATTCTTGATTTTCAAGATAAAATAAATCATTAAAATATAGCTTAAAACATTACAAAACTCTAGCAGAATCAACTTAAATTTAGATCACTTGATTGAATTTCCAATTAAGGCCTGAAAAGTGGAAAAATCCTGAAAGATAATCACTCAGAGGAACAATGGGAGAGAAAAAAACCCCGCCAGCGAAACGTTTTGTATCATTTATTTTGTAAACATTTTCGATTAGTTTTCGTGTGATATTGCATTACAACGTGGGCTTTAGCTGGAGGTTTCTTTTTTTGTGTTATTTGGCTTTATTTTTTGTTGTTTTGCTGTTTTATTTTTTGTGCTGTACGTTTTGTTTGAAATTGAAGTTGCGAAAACATTGAGAAGCGAAAAGCGAGCTGCTAAAAATAATTTGAGGCAGGCAAAAGTGGACAGTCGAGTGACTGAGTCACACACCGCTACACTTCGCCACCTGTCCGCCAGCCAGGTGACCCAGACAGACAGGTGGTAGGTAACCCATTAACACGGCCACGCCCCTTTAACCCACATATAAGCCCAACGCTGACCTTTTTGGCTGCCTCATTTCTCCGCGCGCACTTTCTTTTCCTTCTTTACACAGAAAGTGAAAATGCTTTTTTTTCGGGGGCAACGTAAGAAGAGGAGCAAGCATGAGGCCAGTGGGATTATATAATCTTTTATTATTGCTTTTGGCCTAGGTCAGACCAGACATGACTCTCAGAATGGAAAGTTGCCAATGAAAACCTGACCTTAGACAAAAATAAACAGAGCATGTGGAAAACTAGAGGGAAAGTGAGAGTGAAAATTAGTTTGTTAGAATAAATATAAAGTGATTTTAGGAATTTTATTAGAATTTCATTTTTTGGGTGAAAGATTTTCTTTAAGTTTCAACATTTTCCCCAAAAGATTTTTCACAGAAATAATAGCATTTTCTTATTTTGGATCACGTAGGAATTAGTTTCCATTTAAAATATTAACTCTTTGATCACGTTTTCCTTTAAATTACGTGATTGCAAGTTTGTAATTTTAAATTGCTATCTCTGGGGAAAGTCCTTTCCAACTTTGTTCAATTAAAAGGAAAATGTAAAAAGGTAGTTGTCATTTTAAACTTTTCTTGTATAGTTATTTAAGTTGAAACAGTGATTAAAATGCTTTTTTGTTATGGTTTATCTTTACTTTTCTTTATGTTTGTGAACAGTTAGTACTTATTTCGCCAAGTTATGCCTGGCTGAGCTCACGATTGAGATTATTATTCACTTGCCGCCAGTTGGTTTAGTAATCACTGGTAGAACTCTGAAAAGCAGCTAAGCTTGGCTCTCAGGTATGACTAATACAGGTAGTCGTCAGTCATTGGATTTCCTTTGTTTTTTAAGCTTTTGCCAAAAATAACCATAAATCAAGATTCCTCTACTAAAGCGAGATAAACGCTTGAAAAATATAGTTGGAATTTAATTTGTTCAATTTTTAATTTCCTATGGTTATTATTATTTTTTTTAATAATCAGGAAGAACTTAATTATTGTTAACTAATTAATGAGATTAAATAATATTTATAAATATTAATAAATTAAAAAGATTTTAATTTTTAAATTGTTAGAAAAATTATTTTTTAAAACCTAAAACACTCTTTAGTGAAACAATACTTTAAATAAACAATTTTTGATAGTTTTTACTTACATAAACATTTAATCTGTAATTAAATTTGCTAAAAATGATTTAATATAAATTATTCTTTAGTGATTTCCCAACCTTAAAGTTTTACAGCCACTGACGTGACATTATTAATCATTTGTTCTGCCACTGCAGCTGCGCTTTTTATCCATTTTCCTGTTTTGTATTGTTATTAACGCGATGTGAATGACCCGACAATGAAATTATAGCTGGCAATTATACACACAAACACACACAAAGTCCATGCAGCAAAAAACTGACGCTAGAAAGAAGGAAAAAAGCAGCAACAAAGTGTAAAGTAAAGGCAAAGTAATCTAAAAAAAAAAAAGGAAAAATAAAAAAAAACCCATCCCAACAGTTGCAGAGTCATTGCTGCTGGGCCTGCAGTGGGTTAATAGTAATGAATGAATGGCAGATGCTTAGCTGCTGTGCCGGGGAGATAAATGCATTAATTAATTTGTATACGCAGCGTGACTAACTGCGGCAAACATATCCAGTTTTGATTTTATTTGCATTTTAAGCGCCGCTCGTTAATTTTTGTTTATTTATGAACTTTGTTCAGCTGCTGTGCTGACGTCATAATTGGGACATACAAAAAAAAATCAAACAAGTTTGCTGCTTCAGTCTTTTGTTTGCCCCTGCTTTTCAGTTACTTTCAAACTGTTTTGTGTATTTATCTCTACGAATTTGTTGATAAATTGTTAGCCATAAATAACCAAAGAGCTGTGATTTATTGCCTAGATAATTTGTTGGGTAAATAATTGTTTTTTATTTTATTTTTTCAAACAGTTTTAAAGCAATTGTGCTTGTGCAAGGGGAACTAAACAGTTTCCCACTTTTAGTTCACATATTCGGTTGAGTGTCTTGGCTAGGAAAGTGGTTTTGGTCTCTGCTAAGTGCTAGCTTACAGTGCATTCTAAACTGGTGTAAACTGTTAAACCGCTGTTATTATAACAGCGTAATTTTATTACAGGCTGTTAGGATTTTAGGATGCCTAGTTCATGTCAAACTGTACTTGTGAAACTGTTAAGTCTTCAATGATTACAAAACTAGGATTTTATTTAAATGGAATTTGAAAATATTTAAAAAGTGTAAAATAATCAATTTAAATAAAATAATTCTAATTATTTAATTTTTTAACATTTTTCCAGTCGTACCCCTGGCTCTCGTCAACCCTCACCTGCCGAGGAAACACTGCCTCGTCCCCCCAACTTGCTATTCCCCCTGCCACCGCCCTTCAACCACATGCTGATGGACCATGGTCAAGGCATGGGCGGCGGCTTGGGTGGAGTTGTGGGCTCTGGCAATGGGGTTGGCGGAGGCGGAGGTGGTGGCGGCGGTGCATATGCGGCTCACCAACAAATGGCCGCACAGATGAGTCAGTTGCAGCCGCCGATGATGAACGGCGTGGGCGGCGGTATGCCAATGGCAGCTCAGGTAAGATTTAGAATTCATTTTCAATTAATTAATTGATTTGAAATTATTTAATAATTAATTTCCAATCCTTTGCCACAGTCTCCGATGTTGAATCACCAGGCAGCTGGACCCAATCATATGGAATCTCCCGGAAATCTATTGCAGCAGCAAAATTTTGATGTTCAGGTGAGTTTTGAGTTGTCTTTCTCGAAAAAGAGTTTGCTGTTTGGTCGGTTGGTTCCTTGTCCCCAGAGTGACATTCTCATTGTGGTTGCAGCAGCCGAGAATTTGGGTCATGTGTTGTGGGGTTGCACCAACACAATGTGTTGTGCCTGTGTGTGTGACTGTTGGCGCAACAGAAGCTGGCTAATTTTGCACATCCGCCGGATGCTGCTACTGCTGCTGCTGTTGATGCTGTGTCCCCTGGTAGCCATTTCCGGCAGCCAGGCGCATTCTCTAGCTCCCAGAGCTGCACTCTACTCTATGTATCCTTTCTCCCCATTCCATTGCATGCAATTTATTTCGAAACAAAACGGAAATCGGATTTATTAGCCACAAAATTGCTTTTAAGCTTGTGTGCTCTGTTGAACCAGTGGCTTTCAAACCAAACCATTGGTTAGGCTCGCTTTCCAGTCGCATTTCTGTGGTTACAGTGAAACATGGATAAAAGGGAAGGTGTAGAAAATTTTAAAAATATTTTTCAATGTTTTTAAGATAGGTTTTTTACGTTAAAAAAATGTTTAAAAATGTTTTCATATACAAAAATGTATAGTAAATTATATCATAAATATTTTTAAACTCATTCTTCACTGTACTTGCAGTCAGTATCATTTCTTTCTGTCAACTTGGGCTTTATATCTGGCAAAGAACAACAGCAACACGCAGCCTTTTTCCCTTCGCTTGCCAAATTGAAAATCAATATGCGTTGTTGCAGTTTGCCGATGCTGTATATAGGGATATATATACCTTGTTCCCTTTTTCCCCTACGATTTCCCTGTGGCCTTCGACTGTTTGGCCGCAAAGCAAATTGACATTTCCACACTTTAGTCGCCAATCTGCACTTCCGCTTTTTATCGTTGGCTCCACACACACACACACACACATCCACTGCCACATCCTGCAGGCATTTTTGTATCGCTTTTTGTCTTCACTTTTCTTTCCGCCCAAAAGTGGGGGCAAACTTTATCGTAGCTCTTTGTTTGTATTTTAAGTGAGAGAGCTGGCTGGAAAGTATGCTGCACAAAATTGCATCAAAGTGAAAAAGCCAGAGCACACATGCACTGGCAGAAAATGTTGTTAAAAAGCAACAACAAGAACTATATGCTATATCGCTTCTGATCGTTTGGCAAAAGTAGCCGCGGAATGACATTATGGTGGAAAAAAGTGTAGAAGCTGTTGGCAACCTGTGGTAATAGGTGAAAGTTTATTGCGCTTCCTGTTTTATTTTGCACAAAGTTTTTGCATAAGCAGATTTTAAACGCATTATTAACTATATTTAATGCGTTTAAAATCTGCTTATGCAAAAACTTTGTGCAAAATAAAACAGGAAGCGCAATAAACTTTCACCTATTACCACATGTTATATGTAAAGTGTATTGATATTATTATGGGGAATTTTAAGGGGTTAGGAATGGGTTAAGTGCCATTATATCAAGCTAGACCTTGGAAGAAATTATTAATTAGAATTTAAAATATTTAAAAAATAATATAAATATATATTGTTACTTATCAAGTTTACAAAAAGCTGACTTTTTCGATAGTTATAACTTCCTTTACCCTTAATTTACCCTCTTGATAGTGCTATTTTTAATGGAAAACAAAAAATAAACATAATTCAACATTAAAATTCCATAATATATGTGCTATAATAGTAATAATAATTATTATGCACTCATATTCCCAGTGAGAGATAAAGCGACTCTCAACACTCGCCTGCCCATAAATAAACCAAAAGGAAGGACAAAGAAGGCACGGAGTTACCCACAGATATGCATTTATTGGTTTCATGAGAAGGCACTGCCAATATGTTTCCCCGATAATGGATAATGCAAGCCAGGCACTCGTGCACTTTTCCTACCCACTTTTCTCTCTGATTTTCCACTCACACAGTGGATTTCGTGCATATTTCTTATTAAATTGGCGTTGATATTAACACCGAAAAAAAAGAAGAAGCAAAGAAAAGGATTCTTGACGAATTGCATGCAAAGTAACAAAAGAAAAAGAAGGGATATCTTGTAGGGTTTTTTTTTTTTGAGTTTATTTCTGGGTTTTTTTTTTCTGAATATTAAGAGGGCGGCATTATGGCACCGCATACAATGCAACCGATTTTTGACAATGGTTATATGCAATAAATATGAAGACGAACGACTTGCTGCCTTTGTTCGTTGTGGAAGGAGAAAACGGGTAACAAAAAAGGTCACAGAAGATTGATAGGAAATAAAGGAAAATGTGATGATCTGTCGGAAAAAGATATGACCAAGGTATATGTAGAGTCGAAGGAATTTCTTACTAAATCTCTCAGAGATTATTTTTAGATAATCATGGAAATATAAGGGCTTCTTTTGATATATTTAAGTTTAAAATTTATTGATTTAAAATCAAGAAAATTCTCTGCTTACTTTAGCAAAGATTTTATTACGAAAAACTGCAACTAAAAACCATAAAGAAACTAGAATTACCCACATATGGCATACTATATAAACCCCCTTTAGAGTGTCAGCATGTGGAAGACAAATGGATGGATTGCCATTCAAATGGCAAAGAAATCATTATTTATGTGCTTCAGCCAAAGAGAGGGTAAAGCATGAAGGAAAATTCACCACAAAACCAAAGTGTATAGAACAGGAAAATGGGTGGTAAAACTGCTTGGCAAATCGTTGCAAATTAATGCAAACTGTTGCCAAGAAACCATCAATATAAATTTCAATGTGACCAATAACATATTTGCGAAAACTAGCCACGAGCAAATGAAGAAACATTATGGCGAGACTGGAAGCAATTAAATGGAGGAAATATAAGCTAAGATATAGAGAAATAAAAAGTTAAAGATAGTTTAGCAGATTGAATATTGAGTTAAAGATTTAAAAAACTATTTTTAAGAGATATTTAGGGTGAACTTTAATTTTTAGCATCTGCATTATGGCTTTTATATAACTTATTAATGACTTTTAATACTATTTCTACTTATTTTTCTTTGAAAAAAAAAATACAAAACTAATTACGTTTGACTTGGGAAAAGTTTTTCTTTTGTTACAAATACTTATTTTTTTGTTTTGGCCAACACTTTTGGCCGGCTGTCTGTCGCAGACATGCTTCAATGCCTGCCTTTGTGTGTTAATCAGTCAGTTGGTGAGGCTTTTGTTGTCTTCAGCGGGGCTTTAATCGGATAATTGTTTTCGCTCGCTTTTCTCTGTGCCTAATTCGGCTTTGATCTGAAAGTATGTTTAATTGATTTCCAAAAAGCATTGGCTTACGTTGTTGCTTTTCCCCTTGACTTGAGGTACTGTGAAAGTTGAAAGAAAGCGAAAAAGGTTTTAACCATTCATATTTGGCTTTAATTTTATTTTGCAAAAAAAATCTCTTGATTTAAATCTAACATGTTTATGCGAATGCAAATATTTATGGCCAACATTATGCAAATTTCCATAATATATATTTTATATGTATATCCTTTCGAGTGTTTGATTTATGCATTCCTATCGAATAATATTTTTTGTTTTGTTTAAAATAAATTGTATTATTTTTATTACCCTTTTTATTGGTATTTTTGTATAAAATGAACAAACAATTTGTGGCATAGTTTTTAGGGGGGATTATGTGCCATTTACTAATGGGAATGGGTTAAGCAATAGCCATTTTCATTCCACAAAAAATGCCAAATGCATTTCACATTCAAATTCATCGTGCATAATTTATGATTGTGTTAAGTGTGAGCGTTAAATTTGCATAAAAATGCATTTAAATCAATGGAAGTGTTCAGCGAAATGCAACATCTGCTTCTTGCACCGCCGCCACTGCTGCTATCTCTCATTATTGTCCCTGGCATATATTAATTCAGCAATTAATTAAGCGTTAATTGGCACAAAAAGCATACTGCTCATTATGCATGTGTGTATGGCACTTAGTAAATTAATTTCCAATTGTTCCCCGCGTTTCGCCTTCAATTGTCAATTTTCATTTAAATGCAGGATAAATTTTCTTGTTTTGATGAATTTAAAATGTTTTTTGACATAGTTTTGATGATTAGAAAGAGGTTTGAAAATGAGTGTCACTCAGAAATATGAAAAAGTTGGTTCTTTATGATATAAAATTAATCTTTATTATAAGCTATTTAGTCAAAGAGTTTTAAAAGTCTAAAAAGAAAAAAGACCTTCTATAAACTCTTCAAAATGTGTCTAAAAGTATGCAATGTTAATTTTTAGGGCAAATTTGGTAAATTTTTAGCATAATTTTGGATACCTTTTTTAGAGTTTTTAAAACCAGTAGGATTTTTAGGTATATTTCCTTACAAATTATTTGATATAAATGTTTTCTTTTGCAAAATTCTGATAATTCCATCAGGGATTTGCTTGGCTCAAACAAATCTACAAGTTCTTATATTTCCTTAACTGGCTTATAAACTTTAAACTCTACTTTCGAAAACTAAATTTTGCTTAAATTCACGAAAAACACGTTAGTTGCCATTGACAACGATAAATGTGGCTACCTCCTCAGGCACTTGTCGATTTCGGCTTCTGTTATCAGGCGAAAAGCCATAATCAAGTGGTTGTTGTTTTTGGCTGGAGCGAGCCAGGAGGAACAGGATAAAGAGCAGGCTGGGGCCAAGACGAAGAGCAGAAGCAACCAGCAGCAGCAGCATCATCATCAGAAGGAGTAAGAGATCCAGTGGAGAGTGTCATCCAATGCCGTCACTTGACATTTACCGCCAATAAAGCCCAATTAGCGGTCGGCCCCCACGCCTCAGATACTCTCTACTACTTGGTCGTTGTCGTCTCTCTACCCTTGAAGTTTGTGTGGACACGCAAATGCTAATTAGTAAGTGGCAAATAGTTGACATCGGGCTTGTAGCTGTAGGGGCGTGGTGGAGTGGAAACAAGGTGGGGTGGGGGCCAAAGGGGGCGTCGCGAATTTAGTAGCCGAGACATTAATTAAGCGATGCCCTGATGCATGCTTCACAGGGTTTGCGC